GTTGTCAGGATTCTGACTTCAAGGTTATGATAAAGTCATTGAAGTAAGATTATTGTGATATTCAGCTAATTATACTGACGATTCATCAGCGACGCGAAGGTCCTGCGCGTTACATATGCTGCAGTTCACCCTGATATATCCTCTCGATTGCATTCCACGACGAACAATCGCCTCTCGTCCAGCCATTTGATCATCGGCTAGTTGTTTCTGCAAAAATGATAGGAATAAGTCGATAAAAAGTTTTCTTTCAAGAAGCTTCAACATTTTTTCAATTATTCGGTGGGAATATTTCTTCAGGGATTATTTCCGAATCAGTTTCCATTATGGAAATGGCCGTCAAAGTGAGTCGTTGTAGAACTCCCTTAAACTTTTTCAATTCGCCTGGAAACTGGTATGCTAAAAAGGACAGCCAAAAAAGGTTAAAAAGGACAGCCAAAAAGTCTCTAACAACACGATATATAAGGGGACAGCCCTTGTTCTACTTCTTCAGCTATATCACTATGTCCGCACTTTCTGTTCATTCATCATTGCACCAAGTACGTTCTTTCTATCATGCAATATCCGGTTGTATAACATCAACGCTCTCGGTCTCACACGATCGGGAAAGAAATATTCAGCCAAAGCCAGTGTTTGTCGTGACATCCACACCTGAAATTTCGGTGAAGTCCTCCGTTCCTCCATAAATTACAAGGTACTGAACGCAATGAGAGTTTGCTTGCAAAGGGCTACAAGAAACGAATAAGTGAGGCTGTCGCTCCGAAACCGTGATCTGAAGCGCGAAAGGCGAACTGTACATCCAATTCTGAAAAGTTCTTGCCACGCGCGAAAAGAGCAGCTTGGCAGCAGTGCAAGTGTAACATTTTTTTCGCTTCAGAGCGCGCGGAAATAAGGCTGAAAGACAGTGATGCACAGGTGCCCTTTAGGACTCCGCCGGAGTGACCATATATAATAGTTTGGGATGACCTTATAATTACTTTTTCGCACCTCGGCATACTTGCCAGTGGGATACCCCCAGATTAATTGCTTGCACGCCGACCTCTCACTGCCAGGCTCACACAAGATAGAATAACGAGAAATAAGTGTATAGAGTGTTATATAAGTTTTTCATCATTGAAGCTGATCGACGTCTGAGCATCGCTGCACTCCCCACTTCAGAAAGGCCCTGCGCTTAGAAGCTACGCCCCCCCCCCTCACTCGAGGTCAAATACGACA